CGTGGAATTATAAACTGTTTTGCTCTTATTTGTGTCGTCTCTCTATTTTTTATTCTTAGATGTTATCTTTTCTTTACGTCTGATATAGATAAGTCGTTTCATTGTTATTTTGTGTACAAGTAAAGTTTAATTAAAAGAACGGTTAAAATATTAATCTTTCCTTTCGAATAACTTTTACTAAGTAAATATCATATTTATTTAAAATCAATTAAATTGGTTTACAATTTTTTCAATCGATTGTCTGATAAATTTATACGAGTACTAGCTGTTCCCGTGCGACTTCATCCGCATAAAATTATGAAAATTTTATTTATTTTGTTGCTTACATGTGTCAAATTATCAATAGCAAATATCAAAATGAAATGACATTATGACAAACCATGGCAACCTTGCTTCCTTGATGTTGGCAGCAACTTATGATCTCTTTCCTACATTAGGGTTTTTATCCAAAATATTTACCCCCTTAGTTTAATGGCGTGAAAATATATAGCCTAAAACATGACGTAACTGTACGGCTATTTATTAAAAAAAGAGTTATACAGAAATATGCTGTAATTGCTGAGATCTTAGGCAACAAAGAAGTGTATGTTTACGCTTTATTATAATAGTATAGATAGATAAATAAAACTCTTGGAATTAATTTAAAGTTATGATTACTTTTAATTCATTTTGACGTCGGAATAGAAATATTCGTAGCCATACAAAGACTAATAAGTAATTATTTGCATGTGTGACTACTTAAGTGTTCTTACTCATTACATTTAACCTTAACATTAATAACTTAAACCATTATTTACAAACACTTCATTAGAGTTATTGTTAACTTACCAAGTTAAAGATACATGAATACTTAGATTCTATTTGATGACTATGTCGATTATATTTTTATCCTATGTAATTAGTGTCATTTGCTTAGCCATTACTTAGTTTATTATTTAATTATCTGTGCTTATCCTTCTTCGTCTCCTTTACAATCACACCGATATCTGTGTGTCTAAAAAATCTATTGTTTTTTAATATAAAATTATTTTGAGAATTAAAGTTTACTTTTATTTATACGTTTGTGTATATCTTTAGTATAATATACTTTGGTATATCGAATTGACTTCGTTTGAATTAGTAATTACAAGTTTTGCAATTATATCAAGTTGGTAAAGTTACTTATATGATGCTGTGTCTAAAATAATTACATACACTGTACGTTTGTCGAAATGATTCGTAAAGGTTCGAAATTTAGGTTAATGGAACCGGTCGTTTTGAAATCATATTCGTCCTATCAAAGGGCTTGCGATTTATGTTTTAAGATGAACCTTATGCGTTTATTCTCATAAATTAATTTGTATTTATCAAACTGTAAGACATCGAACCATAGTAACGTGCTGTTTTATCTACATAACTACTCACTCACTTACTCACTCACTCACTCACTGAATAGATAGTAGGTGAATGACTACTGAAGGGTAACTACAGTGGTTACTTATCTATCTTTACTAATATTATAGAGGAAAGATTTGTATTTTTGTAATGAATTGAAATAACTCAAAAACTAATGGGCCGATTTCAAAAATTCTTTCATCATTAAAAAGCTAGTTTATCAGTGTGTAGGCTATATTTTTCACGAGGGCAAAGTCGCGAGCCACAGCTAGTAGTATTACAAAGAAGTGATTACACCTATTTCTTTATAACAATTGAACACACTATTAACTTACATGTGTTTATTATGTTATGATTGATAATTAAAAAAAAGGAATTTATTAACATTTTCTCTTATACAGAAATACTTTCCTAACTTTAGTTAACTGTACACTAATCAAAATGAAACAACAAAACATTTACGAAATACGTTGCAACGTTAAGACAAAAGGTTTTAAAACATCGTTATGTGTAACCATTAGTATCGTAAGAGATTTATTACAGCCTTTGTATTCTGTTAACGTTATTTATGTACACTATTGTAGTGATTTTTTCTGTAATTAATAGAAAGTAATTTTGTTGCAAATTAAAAATTATCTCGAATTAATGTTTCATAAATAACATATTAACTATAATTTATAGAGTAAAGCTGGGTTGTTGAAGTTAGTATTTATAATATCATTAACTATTGATTCAATACTGTTAAGTCGACATGAAATAAGAGTAAAAGTCAAATTATGTAGTTGAGAAACACATTTCATGAAGTTATCGAAGCAAACACTAACGAATGGTTAAACGTAGTTGGGAAACAATCCAAATGTTCCGAAAATGTCACTTTCCTAAACTCTTCTTTTAATACACTCCGATTTATTTAAAGTTTGTACTCGTATATTCACAGTCATAATTGTGACAGGGATGTTTAATCGCAAAATACTTTTAAAACGTCACTGATACCCATCGTTACTTACTTGATTTATTATACGTCCATAACACTCGATCATTCGTTTGAAGTTTATCGTATATCGATGACTTTGAATATTGCTAATAAAAGTAACCACAAAAAAATCTGTTAAGATGTCCAACATGACTATAAATTTCTTATGTTGGCAGAATGGTAATAAAATATTCCTTATATGAAAAAATGATAACGCGACCTTCAATGCATGAAAAATGGACGCTGAAGTAATGCTAGTTTCACACGAGGGTGCAACAGTTATGCAGAATAGTAAAGAATGCAGTACTGATATTTAAAAACGCACAATTGCTGTCAAAATAAAACTATCTCATGCAGTTTTACTGCTCTGTGTTACTGTTCTACCCTAGTATGAAGCTAGCATAATTGTTTGATTTAAATATCAACTCACGTGTTATATGACCATTCGCCCACAACCAGGTAAGCTTCAAAGTTGCCGTAACTCGCTTTTTATCGGCCTCATTTTTCTTAAGCTCACGTCCCGATTTCAGATTATCATTTGGAGTTATGTCGGTTAAACGTCCGAAAATGTACAAAAATTCTGTCCACGCTCGTTCATGCTTTGTAATACCTAAATATATATATGATTACATAACTTTCTTGTATACGGTGGTACACTTAACTGTTATTGAACATAGTAAAAACGATTACTGTAATTCCTTTAACTGCAACACATATTTCCATTTGTAATAAAACGTTTGTTTAAAAATATGTTATCCTTTAAGCTTACGTCTTATATCTTATTAGCTTAGATTACGCATAATCTTACACTTCTACAACTAATAAAAATGATTTGATACAGCTATAATTAATTTAACAAGCCTAAGATTTATCTCAATCTGTGGCGGATGGAAGTGGATCATTACTTACATAATATTAATTAAATACATAATCTGTTAATTCGATCTCACAGTCGCACTTAGGGTTATCGATAATATGTCGTATGTAGAGTAATAATGCGGGCAGTCGGCCGCTGCGCGAAATCGAAAGTTTTATGCGGCCTACTTGCTACTTTTGGGCTATTATGTAAGTCGATGCAACGGTGCATCGTTTTGGTTCGCGGCATGGGATTATGTAAAACAGAGATAACTATTGTTTGTTCAATCTATGGTTGATGTTTAAATTTACTTATTATTATTAATGGATCACCGGTTCTCGAAATTACCGTTTGATAACTTGCATGCTTAAAGAATTATATCGTTCGCAACATACGTAAGCTTTTATTAACATGAAGATCTTTGGAAATTATTAACAAGTGATTAATAACCTCGAAGATTGGCAACAAATTTAAAATGCAAGTATATGGTTAATGGTGACTAAATAATTCGAATCGAAGCAGATTATTTGTAAACAAATGAATGCCGATTAGTCATTTTGTGGTTTCATCAATTCGATAAAAAGATTGGTTTCCCCTTGAAAATCCCAATTTACGTTTAAAATCCAACTTTCATACAAGCTTGCCCATTATTGTGCTCTGTTACATTTTTACTTTATTATAACATTAACTCCGTTTCACAATTAAATTTCCGTAGAATTAAGTTTTCTACTTAAATGACATAAAAAAACTTTACAATCTTAGAATAATTACCACTTATGAATCTGTATATCTCACGATATGATGAAATGCAATATTAACACCAAAATGTATGCAGGAAGCGTTATTTAGCAGTAATTTCATGAATGCTCAATAAAACGTATGAATAAGAGGAAGGTAGTTTAATTCCCATGCACACACGGGCTATAAAGGAACTTAATGTTGAAATTCTGAGAATATCTAATAAATAAATGACATACGCTCAGTGACTGAAGTGCCTGGTTCACGAATAGATATCCGTGATTCGATATTGTTTTTTTAATGTTAATGGAAATCAGTATGACGGCAAAAAAAATTGAAAGTCAGGAGTGTTACTGCTGTACTCAGAGACGTTACTAGTACACTAAGGGTTACCATTTAGATTAAACTGAAGACATCCTTTTGTCCAATTTTGTAACCAGTCTGATAAAAATGAATAATAATTGAGTTTAACGTGAAAGATTTTTTTTGGTATCTTTGCCTCGTTTATCGTTTGTATTAACATGTTATAACCACAGTATAAATATATTTATTAATTCGATAGATTCGAAGATAATTTAAATTGTCTCAACCGTCTTGTTCTCAGAGTTTATTCGCTCCGGCATTTCTAAGAAAAGACTTCAACGCGAGGCAAAGCGACCGTACTCTGCTAATGATGTGAAAATATATGTTTCTCCAAGGTAGAGTTACGAATATAAAATTGTTATTTATCCAATAAGAGCTCTATGTTTCATTAAGCATTTTTAAATCAAATTTTACCTAAGATCATTTCGTTAATATTTCAGTAGGATCTTAAATTTTACTTAACACAATAGTAAACCAGTTTCATTTTGATCTAATTTTAGCAGCTGTCCTTAGCTCTTTGAGATTTGAGATATACAAAAGCTTTAAAAGATACATGTCATCTAATTTAAAATTCGCCATCCGTTCAGTATCCCTGACATTTGATCAGCTTCCGTAACCCTATGGGACCTTCAAGTGTAAGTGTACTGGCGACGGCCCCACCACTGTTGTCCGCTGGTGAGCCGGCGTGGGCGCTGCGGGCAGCTGCACGCTCACTCTCGTTACCGCGCCGAACCCGCGCGCCGCGTCGACCATGCGGTGGTGAGCTGTGCAAGTGACTAGTGTTGTACTTAGACCGTGATTTGTGTATCCAATCGATTCAACATGAGGTCCTTCGGACTAGCAGCGCTTTTCGCATTCGCGATATTAACAGGTAAGCGAATGCTGAATGAATAATCAATTTTTCTGTAATAGGATATCGGATATTCAGATATGTTATTTTTTGGATGTAATATTTTGAATTGAATAAAATGCATAGGATACAGTTCTTTTTTATACGCAAAATTAGCATATATTTATCATTTTATTGTACTTTTACTTTAACATTTAGAAATTAAATTAATTTTATGTTAAAAATATTTTTCCCTTAGTAATAGTATTTTACTGAAATAAATATTAATACATGATTGAATTAAGAATTATCCTTAATTATATTAAGGTCAGTCAACTTGACTTGTTGCATTTCAACTGCTACCAACTAGGAACATTTCGAACCAATGCCATATAATTTTATTAAAAAAATAAACATGACTTTAACATTGAGTGTGTAGAAAATTTTCAGTGTTCGGAAAGTCGTTGAACTTTATTGAAGTATCAATATTACGCGACTCACGATATATCTCTAATGACAAGGCGTTTTGCACCGAGATGAGATATTAATTCGAGAAAAAAAAGTAACGGAACTTTCTTTTAAACGTGTTGTGTAATTCCATGAGTTATTACTAAGTTTAAATTCATATTTTGCATAATGACCGCACAATACATAAATATGCAAAAGTTTTACTACGAATTCACGAAGAAAATAGTTGATTATATGCAAGAAAGAACACGCTATCTTCGAGTATATTTGGACAAAGTACTTAATTTTTATCCAAAAAGGCAACCAATTGTGTGTATAAAAATATCAAATGCAAACGTCATTTTGTGATTTGATGCCATTTTAAGATGCTATCAAACAAAATAAATGAACGCGGCTTTCGTTATTTTAATAGTAATATAACCAATTTGAATATCAATTGCATATTAAAAGTTATTCAATAGTACATTTGTATGTAAGTTTAACTATTACCTACACGTTTTCACCTTCGCTTTCTGTAAGAATTTAAATTCCTACGGTACCTCGAAGGCTCCATTGTCAGTGCAATGGGAATTACTAGACAAAAACGATACATTTTCTTAACTATAATTATAGTGTTTGGAAACTGGTGTTAATTGTGCATTATTGTTGAACGAGTAATGTGTTTTTTAGTTACTTAAGACTTTTTTTATCTTACGGGATATTTTTATTTACAACAATTTTAGTGCCGACGTTTGATTATCTACGATAGTAGTCGCTTTTTCAATTAGTTTAATTAAGGTTATTTCACTTTAATAGCCGTCCCCACGACTTGCCTGCGTGAAATTAAAAGAATTTAGTAGTCTATACGTACTTTCAGGCTATGCTCTACATGTATTGCCTTTCAGCGAGATCCGTTGAGACGTTCTGAACATACATAGTAACAAACATTCATCCATATAAACTTTTAGTATACATAATATTATGTATGATTTAAAAGATTAGTAATATGATATGATTGGTAGATGCAGAATGTATTTGTATTTATGATATATATTAGTTTATTTTTGTCTCGTCTCTAGAGTTTCGTAATCCGTTGACCCCGGATCGTTGTACGATGCGTAATGAAGGTGTTTTTGGAAACACATCACGATGATCATGCGCTTAATTTTCCTGTTTGAATTATATCTTTTTGCATATACGATTATAGTTAGACTGAATAAAAATACAATTCCATCTAAAATGTAAAGGGATGTGCTTTAAAAATTTGCAGTGAACTGTTTAATATAAACATATAGGTTAATTAGAACATCTTTCTTCATATAGTGTGAAACTTTCGTATACCGCACATGTAACTTGAAATATATTTATTTACATTTGTAGTTGGTATGACAAAAGAATAATAAACTCAATTGACCTTTGTTATCTAAAAGAATGTTGTTGTAATATCACATTTCCCAAATCCGTCTGCACTATGACTCACATTGAATCCTGTTAGAGTCTGTAGGTCGTTGTTTTGACAACTAGTCCTCGTAAATTGTTGACAACTTTTTAATTTACCCGTTATTATTGACACGACTATTGTTAAGACTGCTATTAGTGAATGCTATACATGTTTATTTTTTTTAATAATTAAAAATAAGAATTGTTAAAAAATATGACCCAATCAATTGCTATATAACTTACTAAAATTTTTGTTATTTCTGAAGTGTAATCCAAAAATCATATTTAAAACTACAAATCACCTGAAAACTTAAATGATAGAGATCTATTTTTTTACTTGCAATCAATTCTTATCGCCTATTTATAAAGTTGCTTTTTGCGTTTCTTATAATATAATGAAAAGTATCCGAATGTAAATGAGTTTAAAAACCAGCCTGTTAAGGTCGTTTGCCTGTTTTTGTTAACTGTTATTTGAGTCGCAGAAATATAACACCACGAGAATATTCATAGAACATGCGTAAGAAAAATGCGCTTGTAGTCATAGAAACATTTAGAAGTGATAAGATTTATTGAATAATTTAAAGGTTTTGAACGTATTTTGTGTCTTATATTAATATATTGCGACTAGAAGAGTACTCAGTGAAGTCACATACGACCGCTGATAGAGATGTATGGACGTTGATAATGTAGCAAAGTAACTAATAAAATGAACTAAAAGAAATAGTGTTTACATTACATAAAGGTAACTGTAATATTTCAGAATAAATAAGTATCACAAAGTAATAAATGTCTTATTTAGAAAGTGACGCAAATTGTAAAGAGTAAAATTATATTAGTTTTTTATTGTCGTTCACTTCATTCGTCATCTTTGAACATGATGGCTTTCAATAAGTTAAAAGAGATGTAAGCATGTATGTCTGTCAGATTTCATAATAGTGTGATACAGAACATCAATATGTCACGGCTGAATCGCATTCGAGTCACAAACGACCCGGCGACACGCATTTTTCGACTAAAATAGAGTACAATGCGTCTACAGTTACTCCACAGTCGTTCAATGATTCGTAACGCAGCATTGTTATGTACACAATTTTCCAATTCCAATTCGAAATTGAATGAGGATCGAGATCGTGAATTCGTGGTGCGGACCACAATTGTAAATTTGCGGCGGTCACTCTCTAGTTGGCCAATCGTTTAGAGTGACCTTCTGTTATTCATATATGTAAAGTGGATTAAAATAGGCCTATTTAAAAAAACCTGAGTTATCGAAACACATCTAGATTGTCTAGTTTGTTATAATTCGATTAAAACAAAACAGCAGAATTTACTACATATTTAGAAACAAGCTTTCCGAGACTCCGTCCGCTTGGAATTAAAAAAACAAAAGCCGGCGTGGGCTTCCAGACAATGCTCTACATCTATGCCAAATTTCACTAAGGTCCGTTCAGCAGTTTAGGTTATAAACTTTAATAAACACCTATCTATATTAGTAAGGGGTAGACATCTACAATCATAATCAAAATTAAACATAACAGCCATGCTCGAAACATTATATTTGATAATAGTATATATATATATTTATAGTGATGACAATCTAAGTAATCCATATTTATTTCGTCCATTCGTACATTACTTACTGTAACATAGTGTTACGCTTTTAACTTTCTAACCTTGGTGTTATATTACGATATCACTTTCGTTTTCGCTGCAGGTCCCCGTTTAATTGCGGGGAAATGAGTCTTTTGTAATCACATTGTACGCCGATTACGTTGACATTTGTTTTTATTTAAATACTGAAGTAATTTTTGTAAATATTTTGAACCGGTTCCAAAGGCGACTGAATCTAGAATTTTCACCTAGTCATTATTTCTAAAAGGTAATATTTTTTCAGACTACATAGCATTCTCTTACATTAACAATGTTATAAAGATATCAATTTTCATGAATGAAAAACATAGAGGCATTTCGCAAGTGTACATGAATTCGTCATTCAACAAGACAGCAGTATCTCGGCCAAGGCTCTAACGCTGTGTTTCACAAACATCAGAATTAGTGATTCTGTACGCATCTGCGTGTTCCACTACACCCAATATAGAAACAAAGAATATAGGCTTCTTTAAAAGAGTTCTAACGCTGTATTTTAAATGGTTCGTAGTTGTTGTTTAACGCTTTGTTATCACGTAATTATTGCTTTAAATGGTCTAACGGAAATGCTAATAGAAAAGTTGTTTGAAAAATTACTGCCATTTAACATTTGACATCATATTTTGTTGATCAAAAACCTTATAATTTCTTAATTCATTAACTTTGATTGGTATTATTTTGTGTTTAGTGAAAATATCTGAATTTTAATTCAATTCAATTCTTTTTAAAAATAGTAAAATCTTTGCATAATATTAAATGTTTCAAATAAAAATAGGTTATCGTTTAAACGCGTAACACGGTGGCCAATGTTTTTGTTTTTAAGAAAAAAACTACAACACTAATAGTTTTGTACACTTTAAAATTCTTCAATCAGTGTTGGAATTATCAAAATTAATAACATTAAGATTATTGTATCTCGTTTTATTGTTTACTTATTTATTTATCGTAAAATGCAGTTGGAATGTGGTTGTATATCAAAGAATTTCAATAATAATTAACATAGAAGACGACATTGGAACCGGTCTCAGATTAAGTGATGTTTTCTTTATTCATGTGATAAGTATACTTTCAATTTTTAATAGAATAATAAATATAATGAATAATAAAACTTACTTTTATGTTAGAAGCACTGTATTTTCGCTTATAGTTTTTAATTATTTTCTTATATAGTTATAGTTATCTTTAACTGATTTGAAATCACTTGTAGCAATTTATTACCGTTTCTTACCATTTTTTAAATGTTTAATTGTTCATAGTAATATAATTGCATCACCATGCCACTTGCTAACAAATTGAAAGGTTGCCAAATCATTTAAAGCTTTTAACTGTCTAATCAAACGAGATAAAAATTTAATTATGAGATGAGTCTGATGAGATCTGACTATTCACATAAATAAATAAAATAACGGAAACAAAGACAAGATAAATAAAATTCTGGTTTAAATACTGATCAATTTGAACGACTCTAGAAATCTGGTTTTGTGACGTATCGTAGGTCAAGGTTTCATGGT